ACTCTTCCAGTTCTCTCCCTCATCCCTCTTGGGGGGGAATGAGCAAACAGATGTGTGGTGCTGAGGTTAAACCATGACAGTCCTTTTTGGCACCCAGTGTGAGATGCCAAGGGTTGAGATAATGATAGATCTTACCAAAGTCTGTTAAAACAATTTCATTATAAGGATTCATTATATTAGTTTAATACTTGCTGGCCATAATGTTGATTTTTTTGATCTCAGAGTTGAGCTTGCTCTCAGGGTTGTGTTATGTAACGTCTTACTTGCTGTGTATGTTCCCTGTTGTGCTGTTTATCATCTCTGGGGGCTGGATTAAGGTTATCATTTTACTGTCCTGTGTAACGCTGGTTTATGATATGATACAGTGACTGGTCATGAGACTAATCTGGTATTTGTACTCAGGATTTCTGTTAACTCTGTACTTTGGGATCCCAACATCTAACTGTATTAGAGGCCAAAGTGAGTCTAACTGGGAATATGTGGCGAATGCAACCCCTTGTGACTGACCCAGAGGCTCAGTGCATCCTTGGCATGTAAACCACCTCAGGAGAGAGGGTATTTTAAGGACTCAAAAGGGTACTGGTGGGCTTTTGGTTTAGCTGCCTTGGAGACGGAGGAAGAGAAACAGTTATCCACCTTGTCTGGTTCCTCCAAGGACGCTTCTGTTGTGGGGTTTCTGAGGACCAAAGAACAACAGGTATCGATGATCACCACGACGATGCACTGGCAACAGTATCACACCAGTGGCAATATCACACCAGCTGAGACTCCCTGATTCTGAGCCATAAGTTGATTTTTGAATGGAGAGCCAAGGAGTATTGAGCAAGATTCGCTCACCCTTTAACAGTCTCATATGGCCAGTGCAAAAGTCTAATGGAGAGATGAAAGTAACAGCAGACTATCATGGCCTGAATGAAATCAAGCTGTCACTGAGTGCTGCCATGCCAGACATGCTAGAACTTCAGTACAAACTGGAGTCAAAGGCAGCCAGGTGGTACGCCACAGCTGACATTGCTAATACCTTTTTCTCAATCCCTTTGGCAGCAGAGTGCAGACCACAGTTTGTTTTCACTTGAAGGAGCATCCAGTACACCTGGAACTGACTGCCCCAGGGTTAGAAATAGCCCTACCGTTTCCTGTGAACCGTTGCAGACCACACTGGAACAGAGTGCAGCACCAGGACACCTGCAGTACATTGATGGCATCATCATATGGGACAACACAGCAGATGAGATTTTTGAGAAGGAGAGAAGAATAATATAGATTCTTTTGAAAGCTGGTTTTGCTATAATGGAAAGTAAGATTAAGGGACCTACACAGGAAATCCAGTTTTTAGGAATAAAATGGCAAGATGGATGTAATCAGATCCCAATGGATGTAAACAATAAAATACCAGCTATGTCTCCACCAATGAGCAAAAAGGAAACACAAGCTTTCTGAGGCGTTTTGGGTTTCTGGCAGATGCATATTCCAAATTACAGTCTGATTGTAAGTCCCTTCCATCAAGGGACCCAGAAGAACAATTTCAAATGGGGCCCTGAGCAACGACAAGCCTTTGAACAGATCGAGCAGGAGATAGTACATTCCGTAGCCCTTGGACCAGTCCAGGTAGGGCCAGAGGTAAAGAATGTGCTGTATACCACAGCCAAGGAGAATGGCCCTACCTGGAGTCTCTGGCAGAAAGCACTAGCAGAGACTTGAAGTCGACACTTAGGGTTTTGGAGTAGAGGATACAGAGGATCCGAGGCCCGCTACACTCCAACTGAAAAAGAGATACTAGCAGCTTATAAAGGAGTTTGAGCTGTTTCAGAGGTGGTTGGAACTGAAGCACAGCTCCTCCTGGTACCTCGACTGGCAGTGCTGGGCTGGATGTTCAAAGGCAGAGTCTCTTCTACACATCATGCAGCTGATGCTACCTGGAGTAAATGGCTCACCCTGATTGCACAATGGGGTTGAAAGGAAATCCTGTTTACCCAGGAATTTTGGATGCGATCATGGACTGGCCAGGAGGCAAAGATTTCAGAATATCACCAGAAGAGAAGGTGGCTTGTGCTGAAGAGATCCTACTATATAACAAACTACAAGAAAATTAGAAGTAATATGCCCCATTCACTGATGGGTCCTACCATATTGTGGGAAGGCATCGGCGGTGGAAAGCTGCTGTATGGAGTCCCACACAACAAGTTGCAGAGACTGCTGAAGGACAAGGTGAATCCAGTCAGTTTGCAGAGGTGAAAGCCATCCAGCTGGCTTTGGACATTGCTGGGCAAAAGAAATGGCCAGCGCTTTATCTCTTTAATGATTCATGGATGGTGGCAAATGCTCTGTGAGGGTGATTACATCAATGAAGCAGCACAGTTGGCAGTGCAGAGGCTGCTGAATTACAGCAAGATACTGCTGCTTGGGAAGAGAACCTGGTTGTACATAAATGCTCAAGAGTTGGGCCACTGAAGAACATTGCAACAGCCAGCAGGTAGATCAGTCTGCTAGAATTAAAGTGACTCAGGTGGAACTGGACTGGTTATATACAGGTGAATTTTTTTTATTGCTTGGTGGCCCTGTGACACCACAGGCTGTCAAGGAAGAGATGCAACATATAGATAGGCTCACAATGAAGGGGTGCACTTGACCATGGACACTATTGCACAGGTTATCCATGAATGTGAAACGTGCACTGCAGCCAAAACAAAGTGATTAAAGTCTCTGGTATGGGGGACATGGCTGAAATAAAAATATTGGGAGACCTGGCAGAGTGATGATATCACACTCCCCCAAATCTCCTAAGACAGGTTCTATGTGCTCACAATAGTGGAAGCAACTACTGAGTGTCTGGAAACATCCTGTGCCCCATGCCACCATCCAGCATATTATCCTGGGTCTCGAAAGGCAAGTTGTATGGCAACATGGCACTCCAGAAAGAATTAAATCAGACAATGGGACTCATTTCCAAAACAACCTCACACACCTGGGCCAAAGGCCATGGCATTAAGTGGGTGTATCCTCTACACACCAGCCTCTGGGAAGGTTAAATGATGCAGTGGGCTGTTAAAGACCACCCTGAGAGCAATGGATGGTGGGAAGTTCAACTACTGAGATACACATTTAGCAAAAGCCACCTAGTTAGTCAACACCAGAGGACCTGCCAATTGGGCTGGCCCTGTCCAATCACAACTTACACATACTTAGAATCATAGAATCACAGAATGGTTTGGGTTGGAAGGGACCTTAAAGATCATCTAGTTCCACCCCCACTGCCATGGGCAGGGACACCTTCCACTAGACCAGGTCGCTCAAAGCCACATCCAGCCTGGCCTTGAAGACTTCCAGGGATGGGGCATCCCCAGCTTCTCTGGGCAACCTGTTCCAGTGCCTCACCACCCTCTCTGTAAAGAACTTCTTCTTGATATCTAATCTAAACCTCCCTGTTTTCAATTTGTACCCATTACCCCTTGTCCTATCACTACAGGCTCTTGTAAAAAGTCCTCTCCCAGTACCCTTGTAGGCCCCCTTCAGATACTGGAAAGCTGCAATGAGGTCTCCTCGGAGCCTCCTCTTCTCCAGGCTGAACAAGCCCAATTCTTGCAGCCTTTCATCATAGGAGAGGTGCTCCAGCCCTCTGATCATCTTCGTGGCCCTCCTCTGGACTCGCTCCAAGTGGTCAATATCCTTCTGATATTGGGGGTTCCACAGCTGGATGCAGTACTCCAGAAGGGGATAAAGTCCCTGTAGTGCACATAAAAAATATGCTGGGGAAGACAGTTTGGTTTATTCCTGCCTCAGGCAAAGGCAAACCCATCAATGGGACTGCTTTTGCTCAAGGGCCTGGGTGCACTTGGTGGGTAGGGCAAGAGGATGGGAAATTCCGATGTGTACCTCAAGGGGATTTGATTTTGGGTGAGAGTAGCCAATCATTTGAATTGTGTGATATTAATTGCTACATAATACTGTATATCATCTGTACTGTGGTTGCAATATGCCGTATCAATTGTAGAATAAATCACCCCAGATGAATGAAAAATAAATTTTGATGAAACTGAGCAAAGGGCAGTGATGATAAAACCAGACAAGTTGCATCAGTGATGGAACCAGAACTGGCTGCAGCATGCAACAATCCAACACCACCCACCATCTTTCCTGCCCTGAAGGACTGTTATGAGAGATGGAGCCCTAAGTCATGAACTAAATTAACTAAACTGACATTTTAGAGAGATGGCACATAGATTAAGGGAATGATATGTGTGTGTAAATATCAAAAGATAGGAAAGGTGGAGGTTGTTACTCCAGATTTATTGGAAGGTGTGGGACCTGGTCATGATGGTCACAGAATAAGGCTGGGAGTGAGTGAGCAGCTGTGTGGTGCTTAGTTGCTGTCTGAGGTTAAACCACAATACATATGTGAGCATATAAATATGTCAGCTTGTGCCTTTTGTCCTCGCTGCTTTCCTTCTGCTTCTTGCTCCTAAGAAGGTAAAATGAATTGCTTAATTTTTAAGCAATAATAAATATTTTATTTAAGTACCTTAAGCCTTTGATTTTAAGTTAGTATGAATCAACTAAACTAAATTATGAAATAATGTTTATACAATCATTTGTTGAAGTACTGTCCTTGTCTTTCACCTAGGTATTAAATTTTAGTGAGGCAACAAAAAATTTCGAACACCATATTGTTAAATAAAAATGTTGTATCCCAGTGCATTTTCCCCTTTTATGAAAGGTGGTGGTACCAAAACGTACCATGATTAACGCACACAAATATGCATTTGCTTCGATTCTGTCATGTTACTTTTGAGGTGTAGCAGTGTAATTTCCTAAACTGTTACAAGAACACTTAGAACTGTAAACTTCATTGAGAGTAACAAAAGCATTCTCTGACTAGCTCCTTCAAATGAATACCAAGCAAGGAGGGAGACAACTTCCTTTTATTATCAATTTTGCAGAAACCTTTGGGTTTTTTTTTCGTACTAAACAGATTATTAATTCTTTTAAGCAAAGCACCAGAGGAGGGATTCTTGAGCCTCTGCTCATCTTAAAAAGGTACTCTGCTCAAACTAGAAGGCATATGCTGGCTGAATGGAGCAAGTAAATTAATGTTAGATATGACAAAACTAGTAGGGGGGAATACAGACATATACAAATTTGAATTATAGCATTATAGATTCCTGAAGTTCTTCTGGTGTATTCATGTTTGTATTAGGTGCCCCCAGTGACCAAAGCAGTGGCACATCCTCTCCTTTATGTGACAGTGGTTTGCATCTGAACTACCATCCCAACAACACGGTAAGAACTTGTATTTCTTTGATGGAATTGCACACAGGAATAGTAATACTGTAATAGCTAAGTGGAAGTAACTAATAAAGGACAGCAACATAGCAGGAGTTCCAATTATCATTGGACTTCGGTAGTTCCGTAGGGGGTAAAAAGAGTTGCCAGATATTATGGCTGCAAATTAAACTATGACAAATTATACCAGCTGAGATTGTGCCTTGTTAGATGTGTTTGCTATTTTTATCTGGTCAACAGGGATTTTGCAGAAGGTTTTCTTCCACATTATTTCTGCAGCACAGGAGTTACAATTATTAAAATTAAAATATACCTATTTGAAGAAAAGTTATACAAATGAATGATAGATGACTTAATGCAGGTTAAATAATTAAAAAAAAAAATATAACTAACGCAACAGCATCAGAAGCAGACATCCCAACAGTCTAAATATGGATGCATGTGGAAAGGCTGTTGCGGCAGAGCAACATTTTTATTTTACTAGCCACTTCATTTCTAACTTCGCTTTTAGGATAAAAGCCATGCTTCAGTTTGTGAAACCTGTTTTTGCAGGTGTCAAAACAGATCTAATTTAGCTGTGGTTTCTATGTGAACTGATAATAATTTACTGAAACCACATCTTTCTCTCTCATTTTAAATAATATAAGCAGGAATCGTGACTCTGTACTTCACCCTAAATTAAATTTTGCTGCTGAAGACTAGGATCTGGTTCTTATCTTAGATGTCCCCTTGTAATAGGAATAGAATGCTTCATAAAACCAAATGAGATGTCTTCATGAATTCCTAAATTATGTACAACTCTTACGTGATGGTTCTTCCTTTTTCTCAGAATATTTTCTGAAATACATTGTAATTCATGGCCATAGTCTATTTTTTAATTTACAGCCTTGGTGATTTGCATGTAGGAGTCATCTGGCTCAGAATTTGGAGTAGACAGGACTTTTATCAACAACTAAAGAGTTTTTCAGGCTGAAGGTAGGGTTAACATTTCTGTTGCAGCCAGACCTTGGCCTGCAGTTTGCATCTAAACTTTTTGCTGTGTTTCAGCTTTTTCCTTAGGTTTAATCACAGGTGAAAAAAGGTTCCTGAAAGCACACAGAAAATGTTAAAAATTCAAGACAGTGTTCAAAGCAATGTCCTAGCTTAGTCTTCCTAGCCAATAATTTATTTATTTGGCTTAAATCTATGTAATATTTCACTAGAGGTTCAGTGTTTTAAATAAGTGAATCTACTTCTGAAAAGCCTCTGCTGTTCAGCTAAATAGTTGTTTAGCGTGATTTTTAATTTTATACACATAAAAGATATATGAACATATATGTAAAATGTTCAAGTTGGAAGAGCTTTATTATTCCATAGATCTGATAGAAAAATCACACTCTAGAAAAATACAAGGTGTACTTAATTTTTGTAATACCTGTTTTATGGAAGATACAGGTAAGAAAAATATTAATTCTGAGATGAAAAATTTTAAGTTATGCAGGATCAGCAGGTACAATTTTACTGATACAGTAGAGGTACTACCTACATTTCAGAGAGAATCATGCTCCTTCAGAAAAATGTCATCACCAGCACTGTTTGGTAAAGGATTTTATAAAGAAAGGAAGAGGTGTTGGATTTTAAAAAATAAATCTTGGTCATTTCGCTTTTTATAAGCATTTCTCATTCAAGTCTATATTCTGTAAATTACTGGTGAACTTAAGACTGTAGATATTTTAATACTCATTCTTTGTAGATAAGATCATAGACATGATAAAGTTTAATTTTCATATAAGTAATGTCCTGTGTAAATAGGTAAAATTAAAATATTCATCATAAGCATGGAGTTCTGACTAAAAAATGTTCATCACATGTGAAATCCCATTCACAATTATCAGGTTTTGAGATGATGTCTTTAGAATAGAAATGTATATGGGGCCACAGGGACCAACTGAATTATGGCTGTATAGTGAAGAATTTAGAGATCACCTTTATTCAGGGCACAGGTATAAAACTAGTAGCTGATGATATGATATGTGGTTAATATTCACTTCTATTCATGGTTAGTCATTTAAAAAAAGGACGCAAGCTGTTTTCCCTCAGTTTTTAGAATACTGTTCCTCACACTTTCCCTAAGTATATTGATGTTGAGGTTTATATAGAATTGTTTTATTTGTGAGAAAATGTTCAGAATCTCTCCAGTGCTAGCTAAAACTCATGCCAAACAATTTGGGAAAAGTACAACACAACAACAAATGAAATATAAAATCTTTGAAGTCTCTCTCTCTTCCAAATCTGCTGAGTACTTATAATGAAGCCCAAAACTGAGAAGGACCTTTTAATGTTTTTCAGGATACATTATCATGTTCCTCATGGCCAGCATCCCCAGGACTTAGGTGGGAAAAAAGGTGGTGTGATCTCCGATTAATTCCACTTCTTCATTCACGGTTTTCCCAGTACCTTCCAGGATCAGATTTGTCCAGGTAAAGAAGTTCAGAAAGTTGAAACTTCTTGATTGACAGATACTGCCCTTAGGGAGTTTCCTTGTTAAAGGAATGGCATTATTGGTTCCACTGCAGCTGTCAGAGGCATGAGATGCAGGAGCTTTCGGAAAGGTCTGTCTAGGTCCATGTCAGCCGTTACTCTGCTTTGATGTCAGCCAGGACCACCCATGTGTGGAAGACTTCTGATCTTCCCACTTGCACCTAGTTGTCAGCACATTTCTCAGTTTGAAACTGCACATAGGTCATCATATTTAATAACTGCTAATGCTTCTTTCTGCAAAAGCTTCATTCTAAGCTGCTTTTTATTATACCTTTGGTTTTTGTAATACACTGTGGCATTGAGCTCTGAGATGTAATTATGGTTTTATGTACTTCCTTTTGTTTTGTTAAGTCTCTCATCTGATAACTTCATTGGATGAAATAGTCTTGTTGTTCGGAAGCATCAAGGGCTGGCTGCCCCGCTGGGAATGTGGATCAAGAGCAGAGGGTGGCAGCGAGGTTGGATGAGGCAGTGTCCATGCAGACAAGGGACCTGTCCCACTGGCCGTGGTGAAGGATCAGAGCGGGCCTAGGGGTGGTCTTCAGAAGCGTCCGTCGCAGTGAGGTGGGGCTCAGGGCAGTCTGGGAAGTAAGACCACAGGTCAGGACTGAATCAGTGGGATACATGTCCAGGCACAGGCATAGCTTCAACCAAGTTCAGGTGAGGACCAAGAACAATAGCATGAGCTGATACGCAGTTCCCAAGTAAAGGGGTGGGGAGGGTGGCACTCAGGCTTTTTCACAGCAGCCTGATCCCACATCCAATAGCCACGCCATGGCAGAGCTGGCTTCAACCACAGGCAGGCGGGCACCCAGGAGAGGCAAGAGACTGGACTCTGGGCCCTCACCCTTGTATCAAGGGAAATGCTAAATAAGCATTCTTAATTGATGTTTCAGATGACTGTCTTCTGTTTTCCAGTTTGAAGGATCCCTATTATCATCTCCTTTTAGGGAAACCCTTCCATAGCTCTGATTATCCTGGTTTTTCTCTCTGTTTCTTTTGTAATTCTAATATATCTTCTATGAGACGAGGTGATCAGGACTGCAGATAGGATCCGTCTTGATTTAGACATAATGATGTTTTCAACTTTTTTCTCTGTTCTTGTCTAATACTTTGTAATAACCTTTTGACTGTCACTGAGCACTATGGTGATGGTTTTCAAAGAGTTGTTTGTAGTAACTCTTGCATTTCTTTCCTCAGTGTTTCCTCAATGTTTATATCTACAGTAACATTCTCTGTTGCTTACGTATAGATAAGGAGGTTTTTTTCCCATATATGTTACTTTGCATTTATTAACATTGAAATTCATTGCCATTTTGTCTCCCAATCACTGGGGAAGCTGTCCAAATCTCATAATCAGGTTTAAATTTATTTCATCATATGGACCTACAACTTGTCACTGTTTAACTTAATATTATCCTAGTAAATCAGAAGAAATCAGAAAAGAGGACAAGAATATTCTGGAATGATGACTGTTTTTCAGATGTTATGAATTTAAATAGAAAATAGCTAAAAAATGTAACAAGTATGATCTTATTTTTATACTATGCCTTGTTAAAAGGTTTAAATACTTAGGTATTCTGTGGATTAATTTATCATCTGTATATATAAGAATGATGTTCTAGCACCAACATATTCTCTGAGTTCCAGCATGTCAGTCATTAACTTGAGGACAACTTTCTACAGTTACAGAGCCTGTTTCTCTGTTACTACTTCTTCTAACCCATCAGAAATATTAACTTCCAAAATAAGCACAAAGGGCTTCTGTAAGGCTGGGAGGCCCTACTAACTGAAAGAAACTCTGGCTTTCCCATGTAGTTTTCTTGTCTCCCAGCTTAGATGTGTGACTCAAGGAAGAATAGTGTTTTCTGCTTTGCCCTGATGGCTCATCAGTCAGTGGTTTAAAATTTCCCAGTCTTCCATTCAAACACATGTAAAATTACCTCAAGAGTACAGAAAAGCTTCACTAATATTTCTTGAAAGACTGTTTTTTGAAAATACCTGCTGAGTATCTCTGTTATGCTTTTACCCCCCCAGTGTTTCTATGAGTCCTATAGTCAAGTGATACCATCTGCCCCCATAGTTGGGTTTATGATCCCACCCAGAAACTTCACTCTGGAGTGAAGAATCCACTCTGGAGTGGATTTTATTGTTTCTTACCACAGCCTGCTTCCTTCTCACTGATTCTCAGTAAACATTTGAAAGTTGCACACATGCCTCCCGCGGTCTCAGTTAATTTTAAGGGCTGTTTTTTCTTAGGAGTACACTACCTAGGCCTGCCAGCCTTTTTCCTATTCACAGAGCTGAAATTAAAGCAGGTTAGGCAATAGTTGTTTCACTACTACCTAATTGTGAAGCTAAAAACAGCCTGCAGCTTTTAACTAGTAATAGCAAAATCATATTTACTTGACTGCATGATGCTTGTTCTATTGAGGAACAATGGCTAGCCCAGGGGATCAAGGTGTAAATCAAAGGCTACAACAGCTTACTGGCTCAACTGAAAGGGAACAGGATATAGTCACCACAGATGCAGGAAGTTTTTATATTAAATTCTCCGCATATCTTCAGATCAATGGAAATAATTAAGAGCATGAAGCATAAAGGGCCCAAAATCTTAATAGTCAGATCTGAGTTCTGATGTGCTGTATAGTTGAGGTGAGATTCTGAATTGACCAGAAATACTTACATGGAAAATTAAGACATATTCAACTATTCACAGGTCTTGAATTTTAAAATTCAGTCTTCTGTATCACTAAAACACAAGCTCCAAGTGCACATTGTAGAACTTGTACATTCCAGAGAAAGATTTTTAGGTAGTAATTTCCAAAAAATAAATTTAAAAGTGTATTCATAGAAAACAAAAGACCTGAATTCATATTCAAACCTTGACTAACTACTCTGATAATTTTCTCCTTGTGTCTATGCTGTGTCTATGTTGCTAACAAAATGGTTTATAAGAGTCTTTTAAATTAGTGTAAATATTTTAAAACATGAATCACTCAAAATTTGTTACAAGAGGAAAAATTTTTAAGACAGTGCTATAAAGAGCAACATTAAGGAAAGGGTAGTGATAATAATATAAGAAAGAAACATTAAATGGAATTTGATTAATTAAGGTTTCTGTAGTTAATATTTACAGGGCTGTTTTCACTATATAAAGCCTAATAACTTTTTGTTTCAGAGTTTGAAAAGGCTGGCACAGAAATACATCATATCGTTATCACAGACACTATTACGCCTCATAACTGTATTCTAGCTTTTCTAAAGGGGTGCTTGAGACACATGAATTCCAGAGCGTATCTGTATAAAGTTCCACAGGACATTCAAGTTAAGCTTGGGAAGCTTAGCCATTTCAAATATTTTTGCTTGAGTTCCAGAGGCCCAGAACCTGAGATGTGTAGTTGAATAAGAATTCACATGATATTCAAAAGAACAATAAAATCTAAGTCTTTTGCTGTATTATAAAGTGATTAGTCTACTGTTTGTTCTATTGAATATAAAACACATTTAATATGTTATTTTTTCAGTTTTGTGTGGTGGTATGTACTTTGGCTGGTAGACTAATTCAAGAAAATACTATTACGATAATCTACTGCTCAGACACATTCAGAAGTAATTTATTGGTAGCCATGCATCTTATAGTCTATGCTTGTTGATACTTGGGCAAGAACATTCTGGATGGATGGTTTTGTATGTGCACAGACCAAATAACTAGGAACAGTAGGAACAGTCTAATGCCCCGAATAGATCAGATTCATTGTGTTTGTAGTGTAAGGCAGATTAACGTATCAGAATTGGATCGGGAACATGCTGAGTTTTCTTTGCTTGTGCAGGTTCGTGTCACACATTCATAGATTTGTTGGATTTGGTTTGCAATAGGCTGAGTAGAAAGAAGGGGAGTCCTGAAAATAATGGTATTTTTCTTGAAAGAGGTAATCAATAAATTTCTCTGAGCATCATGCTATGCTTTTTATGTAAGGACTTATTCAGAATTTTAGTTTGGAAGAATTTACTATTTATATGTGTAGCCATTTAAAATAAAGGATATAGTAAACAGCTATATTATTCTCCTTACATATATCTTCCTCAAAATCTTTACCTGAATTATTGTGAAAATGTGTTGTTGTAAAAAGCAACTCTCAGTTTGTACCTCACGATTTTAAGGAAAAATCATGACTCGTGAAAAGGCCATTAAATTAAGTTAGCTGATAGATTTAGATAAACTACTGGTTTCTGCATGATCATGTTAGGACATATAAGACTTATGCTTCTGTAAGAACTATTTCTCATGATGGGACTCTTAAAGCAAAGACATGGGTCTAATTAATTTTTAATGTTTCTACTGATTGGAGGAAAAGCCTGTATATGACATGGATGCAGCAAAGACCTTTATGGTAGAGAGAGATATTAGGTCTACATTCTGTAGAACTAGAACATAATTTCAAGAGGTTAAAGAAAATGCTCTGCAGAATTGATATCTCTCTTGAGATATCAGAAACTGTCATCAGTGACAGTTTCACGTGAAGATAACACTCACTTTGTCTGAGCCATTCTCGAGGAATCTGAATGGCATACTTAATTTTAAACCATGAATTGATCATTAACAGATGGGTTTGTAGCAGAATGTCAGCAGTGGAACTTGGTTTTCTCTGTATATCTAGTAATCTCTTACTCTGGGATATGGATTAATATTGAGGTGTTTGGGTTTGGAAGCCAGAGACCTGTGAACCTTCCAAAGGCTGTTAGCCAAGAAGGCTATTTACCAATGAAATTAGGTTTGCTACTGCTTTAGCATCTGAAAGCTTTCTCTTGTTCTGCTCTATAGAACAGGCAGCTCAGCACTCTGCTGTGGAAAATCAGTCTATAATGCGTGACAGATTATTATGCAGGTGTCCACATTGGTGCTGGGATAGACATATCCAGGTGGCCGTGGCTTTTGTCATTGCATGTCTCTTGTCATTCTGCTGTATTTTGCTAATGATCCTGTATTCAGAAATGCAATTGGAGAAGTCATTAATGCTACCTGATTGATTTTGAACTCTCCAGCCTTTCTATCAGTACTTTAGCAGCCAGCAAGGGATATCCACACAGGAATCTTACTGTATTTGAACACTGTATTAGAAAAATGAAATAGAAGTTGTTGAAAAGAAAGGTACTGTGTTGAACTGAATTTCTCAAATGATTGCCTACGTTGTCCAGTGAACACTTTCCTTCTTTGTGACCTGCAGTATTAAAGTATTAACTCTTCGTTATGCATCAGCTATTTCACTTGTTTAGCTCCTGAAGTCACACAGTGTTGGAGCTAGTCTGTGGAATTCTTTTTATAGCTTTCTGGAAACTTAATATAGTCTGAGTTGACCTTTCAGCACGATCTTTTTAATATGTCAGTTATTTATAAAACAGGAAAACCAGCAATTTGTCAGTGTTCCGTGGCTGACCTTCGTTGTAGTTGAAAGAAAAGCATTTCTGCAAGTATTGTTAAGATGATATGCTAGAACAGATGAAATTTTCTTCTGACCTGATCTGTTATGACATGTCCATAGGCAAAATGCGTTCCAAGTAATTGCTGTGGATGGGGTTTGCAGTGGAATAATTCAGTGTCTCTCTGCTGAAGAGTGTATTGACTGGCTACAAGCAATAGCAAGTAACATTTCCAACCTTACAAAGCACAATGTAAGTATGGATCCAAGTAAGCCAGAAGGTTTCCTGATCATATTTGATTATAACTGTCATAAAAGCCTAATGGGTTCACACACAGAATTATCTGCATATAAACAACGCTTGAGGCTCTCGGAGAGAAGTCAACTCAAGTTTGTCATCAAATCAGACTTTGTGAGAAATCATTGAATGGGAAAATATTCTCCCTGCAGTCATAGAGTTCACTTCATTGCTATCAGAGTTACTCGCTTCTTAGCAGCACCAGCTAGCTTTAGAAACAAAGACCAGACACACAGAAGGAAGTCAGGTGTGATGGGTAAGCACATATAAAATTTTAAAAATTCTATACTTTCTTGATAGTTTGAGAAATACATCTATAGAAAGACTTGTATAATCATATCTGAATTAGGTATTAGGTCTGTTCAGGTATCATTTAACACAAAAAGAACATCAAGATACTTCTGTGATACAGATACAAATGTTTATTATCAGCAAAGATGAAATGCATTTATGCTTCATGAACTATACCTTTATGACCTGATCTTGTAGGATAAACAACTCCTTGTATTGAAGCAAGAATAAATGTTATGCAAAAGTTTTGCCAAACTACTAGTAAGTTTGATTGAAAGGTCTCCTGGACCTGGCTAGGGTGTATTTTGCATTTGATAGATGGCATGTAGTTTTTCCTGTAGAAGTCTATATGATACCTTTCCTAGTTTTCCTCAAAAAGTACAGAACACGTGGGTAATTCCATTATTTTGAATTGGGTTGTTACAAGGAAGGCCTTGACGAGTTAATTTATATTCTCTCAGATTTCCTTAAGTCTGCTTTAGCCTCCCAAACCGCCCTCTGAATTTGCTTTTGTTTCAAATACAGGCAGAACATTGAAGGAAGTTTTATGTCTTGGAGATTTATGTTCAAGATGCCAAACTATGTTCCATCTGGCAGCAATATGTAAAAGTCATTGTGTAATAAAAACGTGACAGACGTGAATTCATCTGCAAGCTTCCACACAGTACACGCCACCTTTATGGCTATTAATCCATCCTTACAATGCTGTTGCTGTAGAGAACCTTTCTTGTCTCGCTAGGTATCCTGACAAATGAGGGTGCTGATTTTTTTCTCGTCATCTTTAGTTGAGACTATTAATGATTCTTGCTACTTTAAGTGGTTTATTTGTTTACTTATAACGATAGGTAGATGTGCCTAAATTTTATCTAATAATTTATGTGGCTGTGATGATACTATAATTATGGTTGCTTACTGTAACTTGAATTTTGTAATGCACCGTTTTTATGTGATATGTTTTGGTGTTTCAAAAATAACTACCGTTTATAATTCTACACTGCTTTCCATACAGTACAGAAACCATGTATCTGACATTTTAAAAGAGGGAAATAGTAAATTATACAACTATTATGCCAATAGTGTATTTACTTTATCCCAAAGATGTCCTGTAAAGTAACAGTGAGAGTTACGAAAGTTATCCATTAACCTATTTTTAGGACTGTCCTAAAAATATATATAGCCCATATGAATTTATGGGAACCAATGAGACTGCCTTTTCTGTAATATAGGTTTCTTTTAAATTGTCAGTTGCCAGAAAGTATTAGTTATTTGACAGCATATGTGATAAGTGAATATAAGAAACATTAGAAACACAGAGGGGAAAAAAAACCCAAGCTTTTGTTTGGAACAATGATTAGATGTGATTAGCAGTCCCTCTATTTTATTTCTTTACAAGAGGATTATTGACACATGCATACTGTAGATGTTAGCATTTTTCCTCTGACAGGCATTTATTGGCAGTCATACTCCCTTACTGTGGCATCCAGTACCAAAGAAGCAAAGAGAGTATAGGAGTTTATTTGAACTTTTGGACCAATTGACTGATTTTTAGTTTAACTTATTTCAATCTAGGGGTCATGGAAGAATAATTTGTTTCATTTAAATACCAAGTAGCTCATAGAAATGTTAACCTACATACTGTCTGTCACACCTACATTTTTAAAAAGAAGGAAGCAGGTGAAAACAAAGACTATAAAAACCAAGTTGTTTCTGAAAGCATTTCCTTTACCAGTGTATCCAATTTGGACTATGTAGATTTGGGTGGGATTTATCTTTACTAACTTTAGATGTCTTAAAGCAGAATGTTGGAAGAGTGATACACATGATTTACTTTCAACATCTATTTTATGATGAGGTTAATTCTCTCAGGATATGTCTGTCTTTCCTTTGACTACTAAGAGACCCCAGGGTGGTGAGTTCAGACTTCAATACCTCAGGAGATATGTATATCCTGTCACTGGTGTCTTTGAGAGGCCAGAGAGATTTTTTTTTCTGAATAAATCTGCAAAAAAAAATGCCTGGATATTTTGACAAAAAACATACTAGTCACAACCAGAAAGTCTGAATTATTTTACTTTTTCACAGACAAACTGACTGAAAAAAATTATCAGATGGTTCAAACCCCACATATGTTTGTGGGAAAAACATGGCTTTCTCTCCCTGTGTTCCCCTGTGTATCTTAGAGTTGAGAAACATGAGTCCCTGGCTCTAAATTCTCCTCTTTGAGTCTATAGTTCAATTATTTTTTTTATAAGGATGATGTCAGAATCTCTTCTGTCACGATCTAATGTGTCCACATCTGACACAAAGGCGGTGTGGCTCAATTGCCAAATCAACTTGTAGCCAGTACCTACCAAAGAGCAAGAAGGTAACAAAAAGGCAAGAATAGAAACAAACCCAAAATGTCTTGATGTCATCATCATCTTTGAAAGGCGGGGTTGCTAACTGAATATACGTAACGGAGGTTGGAAGATGGTGTCTGCAGGCAAACACAGTTTTCCTAAAGTGGTTAGGCTATCAATCATTGTACAGTGTGAGATAAAACTTGTATTATTATGCAACAAGATAGTTACAGTTTTAATGCAGAGATATAGAAAATTATATTCTGAATATTACAGAAGAGATTAAAAAAAATATCAGTATGCTGACTGATCTACTTGCCTTCATTTCAAATTTTCATCAGAAGACAGCCTTCAGGTATGCAGTCTTTTTCTTGTATTCAGTAAATTAGAACTAGTGTCCTCAAATGTTTGTAGAATTCTGAGAGCGATACCACTAACTTTCATTTCATTTATCTTCCCAGAAACCGTGGAAAGATTACATATGAGATGGAATACATTGCTTTAAGATTACAAAACATCGATTGGTTTATATATTGGTACGCAGCCAAAAGGCACACTATAGAAATGCATTGTTCAAAGTAATTTAATATCACCCTGTAATTGATGTGATGAATACATAAATAATGTTCATTTCTGTACATGTGTTTCTCTCCAACTTGAGTCACTTGAGTTGCATCTGTGTTAAAAATCTATCAGTTTTAGCAATAGTGTCAAAAATGAAAGTGTTTATATTAAACCCAAAGTCTAGTCTAAGCGATTCTGAAACTGAAGTTCATATGCTGAAAATTGAATATGTTAAATTGAACCTAAACTCGGGAACTCTAATTCCTTTATAAATTTGAGATAGAAAAGGGTTTTACATTTTTATTGTCAGTTTGGATGGCAGACCAAAGATGATTACAAAGAGAACAAGCTGCTACTTCTACCTTTTCTTACTCATGCTCCAAGTAGGAATTTTCAGTTCTGCTGTTCCAATTCAGCTGTGAAGTACTGGCCTTCCCTTGAACTTTTAAGCTGTATTAATTTCTGTGTTAATTAATACTGATTTCTATTCTCTACCATTTATTTGGTTAAAGAATTTGATGATGACAGTATCCAATACGTCATGTAACTTTTAGGAAAACTATACTCTGGATGAATCTAAGAAAATAATCCAAAATTGTGTGGTCTGTAAAGATCTACCTGTTGCAAATACATCTTTAATTGGTCCAATTTTCAAGGAACTCAAAGGTAAAATTGGTTTTAGCAGGGATGAGATTTTAACCAAGGTTTTATTCAAACTTTGTTCAACTGAAAACTATTTTGTTCAACTGAAAAAAAAAAAGGGACAATAAGAAATAGAAGCTTTAGGTCTTTGTAACAAAAGGATACTTAAAAAATATGGTTATCGTCTTCTAGAATATAGCTTAATAGAGTCCTTGGGGATTTATCCTCCCTACTCAGTATTTGTCAGTCTTGCTCATGGCTTTCTCTGTGGCAGATTTTTATATAGTGAATGCAGTGATACTTCTTCTCCCTTTCCTCTTCCATAATTTCCTTGGGAAACACTGCAGCAATTGCATATTTATGCTGTTTACCTTGAAGCAAGCACTTGACAGAGAAGAAACATCAACTACATCAGAGAGGAATGACAGGCAGCTGTGGTAACGTTGCCTAGCAGGAGGTGACAAAAAGTTAGTTTTAAATTTATCTTGAGAAGGCACATAAGATCCTTCAAGACTTAGTTAACAGTAACTTTGCGTTGTTCCATCATCGTGTGTTTTCTGGGTACAATTACATGTATCTGTGAAACTAATGAGGCACACGTATGTCGATCATGGCAGTAGCATGAAAGCAGTAGGATTAAGAGGTCTACAAGCTGGGTATGAGTTTAGCACAATGTATGTGTTTTCCTGAACTTAAGCCTTTATTTTGAAAAGTGTTCAGAAGTGCAACTGAAATCATGGCTTTAGTTACGTGCTTAAAATATACTGCCTAGTGCAAGAAACTGCTACTAACAAGACAAATATATTTATCCTGTGAAAGGAGAACAATAATACTTTATCTTTACAATGCTAGAGTTTAGGTAGTTATTTAGGTATTCTGAAAGTCACTTAGATCGTAAATCTTTTAGGTTGGAAAAGACCTTTAAGATCAAGTCCAACCATTAACCTCACACTGTGAAGTCCAACACTAAACCATGTCCTTAATTGCTTCGTCTGAACATCTTTTAAATACCTCCAGGAATGGTGATTCAAACACCTCCCTGGGCAGCCTTTCACAATGCCTGACAACACTTTCAGGGAAGAAATTTTCCTGATGTCCAACCTAAACCTCCTCTGGTGC